TAATTAAATTTTAAAAAATATTATTATATTAATAAATAAAGATACCGCTAATGTGATCTCTGAATTGAAATGGATGCTATTTTCCAAAAAAAAAAAATTGTATGGATGAATTTATCCCACAAGAACAGTTGGCTGATTTCCTTTGTACGGTAAATCTAGCAGGCCGAACAGATTGGAAATCTGAAGGGACGTCTACAATTTTGGCGGTGCCTGTCAAATTATGAAGTATTAATTAATCTCATGTGACGGCCAAAGAAAATTTTAATCCCATGTGAATTTTTTATCTATATGGATCTGTGTGAATTGGACCCAACATCATGGTTGCATTTTAAAATTGTTGCCTCAAAATACACAGTACCTTCGCACCTGCGGGGTTAGCCACTGTGGACAAGATGCATGCTGTCTTTGGTATTAGTCGGGGTTTAGGTTGCTGCAGTTGCAACCTTGTAATATATTCTCCTTCCCCAAATTCACCCTGTTCCAAAAAATAGAAAATTTAGTTGTGAATTTTTGATACAGCTGTGGAATATTGCCAAACATCCATTACTTTTGTTGTAAATATGATTTATGGTAAATGAATATACCACTCCCACTTACAAATTTCTTTAAGAGGGACCATATACAAATTCTTCGGCCAACATAAAGTTTAGAACCTGAAACTTTTGCTTTATTATTGCATCCAAACTTCATTAACCAATCTTACTCAATTAATTAATGAACAATATATGTTTTTTTTTGTCAAGAGAAGCAAAATATACTAATGCACGAACTGAAAATTTGGATCCAATGATTTATCTTTAAGTCTTGACTGTTTTCCTAATGTCTTAAAAAAATATTTCATGTCTTTAAATTTTTTAATATTAAAAAATATATATATATACAAATGAATATTTAAAAAAGTAAGATATTGTATGTCAGTTATTGTTATCGTTACTTTTGTTAAAGTCATTAATTTCAATACAATTTTATCCGTTTATAATTTGTTTAAATAATTAATTATAAAATTTAAAAATATTTATTTATAAATTAATTTTAATATATTAAATAATAAATAAATAATTATTTTTTATAATTAAATTAAA